GGCCCCTTCCACATCGGTCTATGATGCCCCCATCATCTTATGAAACATTCCAACAGGTCCAGCAGCAAATGGGTAGCCCAATTTTATGGTGTGTTTCCTCATTACTTGAAGGGCACATCTTCATGCTAATGATGGAAGGCCTTTAGAGAGTTCATTATATGAATCTCCCTGTCACATGCACTCATATTTCAAGAGGGAACAAAAGTTACGCTCTAGTTTAATTTAGGTCAAACCAAAGTGGCTCCCACTGACCTTCATAAAGCCAGATTTCGGTGGGCCCTAAACGGCTAGGGTTCCACACAGATCCTCTTCAGGGAGCTGTGGGGCCCACCATAAAAGGGAGATCATCCAGTGATCTTTAGGGACACCATGGCAATGATGTGCATTCAACCATGGTGTGTGCAAAGAGCCACGATCATATCTGCATGGGCCAAGTGCTTATGGCCCATGAACGTTGCACATCACAATTCCATACATCACATGCAAGGATAGAATTGATCCAATCAATTAATATCTGTAAAGCCCATCATTAAAGCCCAATTTAATCCATAATATTACTGATTAATATTATCTAGGTATATGGGCTAAGCAATTCAGCCCATATAACTTTTCTACAGTTAGTGGGCTTAAGCAGTTTTAACATTTTAAAACTAGGCCTTACAGGTGTGGGCCGAATTAAGTCTTACAATTAAACATCAATCCCTTGACCCAAGAGTGGGAAATTAGGGCTGAGATCAGCCCCTAGCGAACCACAGATTCGGTCCAACCACTTTGGTCCAATCTGGTTCGAATTGGTCTAGGGTTTGATTTTTAATTCACGAAATAATTCAAGAATTGATCTAAAAAATTAAATCACTGATTAAAGACAATCAAAAATCAGAACTAGGGTTGTTCACACATCTGCAACCTGCAATACAGATGTTAGATCACAGTTTGTAGTTTCATAAACTGCAAATCGCAAATAGTGATTTCTCCATCTGTGAAATCTCCTTCTCCTGCACATCCAACTTCGATCTTGAAATAAAATAAAATAGAAGAACCCTAATTTTCTATTATTATTACATCAGATCGAATTCTTATACATTTAGTCTAGAAATTAAAAAAAAATTAATTACAGACCAAAATTAATAGAACTGCAAAATCACAGATTTCCTACGCCATTAAAGAATTCATTCGCTCTTGATCTGGGAACCGATTTCCCAGAAAATCAATTATCTGCGCAAATCGGGTAGAACACCTTCTGCCCATTTGCGCAGGTTCAGATCTGATCTATTTCGGTTCAAGATTTGAACCATGGCTCTGATACCAATGAAGGGATGAGAGATCCATCATATGGATAGCCGAACCCTGTAGGTAGGTAGGGCAAAATTTCAAAAATTTCTCTCTCCCATGTGGGAATCACATTCCCTATTTTATAAAATCTGCATTTTCAATGATCAATCTTGAACCTAAACCGAACCAAATCTGAAACCAAAAGGTAGGAGAGGGATATACCTGATACGGAATAGCAGTAACTCCCAACGAAGGTATTCACACCCAAGGAAAATTCCAAAGACTGCTCCCATTGAAGATGACACAGCGTAGGGTGGAGCAGAATCAGCAGGTGGTTCTCACAAGAATCGAATCCTTCAGCAAGAATTCGATGGAGGGTATGTGAGCACGACTTCATATCAATTTTTCACCAAAAACTTATATCTTTGATCGCTCCTACAGTGGAGAACGAACTGGCAATGGCGGTAGCAGGAGGAGGGTGCAAGAGCAGAAGATGGCACAGTCTTACTGTTGTTGTCTTCTCTCTTTCTGTGATTTGAGATTTGATTGAGTTGTTGTGTCTGGAGGTTCTCCCTCCTCCTCCTTTTATAGCCTTAAAGAGATCAGCTCATAATCCCATTAGAAGTTTCCTAATTCAAATCCTTATTTGAATCTGGACTCTCTTTAAGAGATAAGGATAAGCCCTTATCTTATCTGCAGATTAGATCAGCCCTCCTATTCTCATTAAGAACTTCTTGATCCAAATCTCTATTTGGATCTGGACTCTCTGAGTGGATAGGGATAATCCCTTATCCTATCTACTGATCCAAATCCCAGATCCGCCCCTCTTTAATTAATCTAATTAAACCAGTTTGAAATGGGTTTTAGGCCCATTAAGTCCATGTGCTCACTGACCTTCCAAACTGCTGCCCAGTTGGGTTTCCTTGTATGGTGTGGGACCCAAACATTGATCTACACATCAGCCACATAGGTTCAGCCTAGCCTCTGTTACAAGGCCTGGCCGAATTCACTATAATGGACAATGAACCCCTGAGCCCATCACCATGAGCTCTTAATGGGCCCAACACTTACACTAAGTGGTCCCTGTGCCAAACCACCTTATAAAAACCCAGGGATTGTGGGCAGATGCAAGATTAGGCCATCAGGTATTACCCTCAATGGTCTTGCACTTAACCTCTCAGCCCATAATGATC